AAAATATCTAACAATGCAATTTGGCTGTGGATCACTCGTAGATATGCAAAGGTTTTTCAGAGCAACGTTAGTAAAAAGGCTAACGTTGCTCGGCTACTAAAGATACATTGTAATATGGTTCTAACATCTTAACGGTACGAAGGCTCTGGGAAACGAGGCCCAGGTCCTTACTCCGCAGCAGTGACCAGGGCCAAGGCAGGGTTTTAAAACTCTGAGTGCAAGGCCCTTTATTACCATCCACAAATGCGATGAGGGGATTAAGGAAGCGTCTGCCGGACCCATATGTCCCTTCATGCCGCGTGGCGCTTAATTAAAACCGAAAGACTAGGAATGGAATCTTGCAGGAATAGGTCCCTCGATCTCCTGCCTGCTCAAAGGAAGTGACTTGCTAGCTTAGCTATACGCTTTTAAAACATCAAATAAATCCGATTATGTTATTTCTGAGATGTATTGTTACCTGTTGATAGTTTCATTGTTGACATATGGTTTTTAATATTTTTCGGATATAGTAGGCCTAGCCAAATGTATTGCTGCAAAGACACATGGCGTGGTAACATGACAAAGAATATATATTGATAATTATATTAGAATAATTCTACAATAATAATAATTATGAATTATAGCATTGACAATTAGTTTTATCCTTTTTCATTATAATCAAAGCTGTTCATTCTGCTGTCCACTAATCATGACAGTAGTCTCAACAAAGTTCAACATTCAGTTGAAATTCAAACGTGCTGGACTAAACATCTTTCAAATCGTTTGGATAGCCTACATTTCCTGATGAGTAATTTAGAAATAGGTGTTAGCCTAACATTTCATTATCTCAGCGGCACCTGACAATATTAATCATTTTGTGATATTTCTCAGATGACCAATCTTCCACATACACAATCCACCTGCCATCCCGACACCTTCTACAATACCAAATTAGTATGGAATTTTCTAGACGCAGTGTCGACAATTTGATCAACAGACTTAGGCCATTGATTAGGCCTACTGTTATTGATTGATGTTGACTGAGAATTGGGCTACCTGTGTAAACGCACACGCACATACAGTGGCTTGCGAAAGTATTCACCTCCCTTGGCATTTTTCCTATTTTGTTGCCTTACAACTTGGAATTAAAATGGATTTTTTGGGGGGGGTTTGTATTATTTGATTTACACAACATGCCTACCACTTTGAAGATGCAAAATATTTTTTGGGGTGAAACAAAGAAGAAATAAGACACAAAAAAACCGAAAACTTGCATGTTCATAACTATTCACCCCCAGGTGTACAGCAATCTTTAAGTCATACCACAGATTCTCAATTGGATTGAGGTTTGGGCTTAGACTAGGCCATTCCAAGACATTTAAATGTTTCCCCTTAAACCACTCGAGTGTTGCTTTAGCAGTATGCTTAGGGTCATTGTCCTGCTGGAAGGTGAACCTCCGTCCCAGTCTCAAATCACTGGAACACTGAAACAGGTTTCCCTCAAGAATTTCCCTGTATTTAGCGCCATCCATCATTCCTTCAATTCTGACCAGTTTCCCAGTCCCTGCCGATGAAAAACATCCCCACAGCATGATGCTGCCACCACCATGCTTCACTGTGGGGATGATGTTCTCGGGGTGATGAGAGATGTTGGGTTTCCCCCAGACATAGCGTTTTCCTTGATGGACAAAAAGCTAAATTTTTGTCTCATCTGACCAGAGTACCTTCTTCCATATGTTTGGGGAGTCTACCACATGCGTTTTGGCGAACACCAAACGTGTTTGCTTATTTTTTTCTTTAAGCAATGGCTTTTTTCTGGCCACTCTTCCGTAAAGCCCAGCTCTGTGGAGTGTACGGCTTAAAGTGGTCCTATGGACAGATACTCCAATCTCCGCTGTGGAGCTTTGCAGCTCCTTCAGGGTTATCTTTGGTCTCTTTCTTGCCTTTCTGATTAATGCCCTCCTTGCCTGGTCCGTGAGTTTTGGTGGGAGGCCCTCTCTTGGCAGGTTTGTTGTGGTGCCATATTCTTTCCATTTTTTAAAAAAGGATTTAATGGTGCTCCGTGGGATATTCTAAGTTTCTGATATTTTTTTATAACCCAACCCTGATCTGTACTTCTCCACAACTTTGTCCCTGACCTGTTTGGAGAGATCCCTGGTCTTCATGGTGCCGCTTGTTTGGTGGTGCCCCTTGCTTAGTGGTGTTGCAGACTCTGGGGCCTTTCAGAACAGGTGTATATATACTGAGATCATGTGACACTTAGATTGCACACAGGTGGACTTTATTTAACTAATTATGTGACTTCTGAAGGTAATTGTTTGCACCAGATCTTATTTAGGGGCTTCATAGCAAAGGGGGTGAATACATATGCACGCACCACTTTTCCGTTATTTATTTTTTTGAATTTTTAGAAACAAGTTCTTTTTTTCATTTCACTTCACCAATTTGTACTATTTTGTGTATGTCTGTTACATGAAATCCAAATAAAAATACATTTAAATTACAGGTTGTAATGCAACAAAATAGGAAAAACGGCAAGGGGGATGAATACTTTTGCAAGGCACCGTATGTCCTGGATGTGCAATACATCTGATGTTTTGGATTGAATTTAAATGCATTTCAATGACTATTTCCCGTTTGATAGGCATATACTAATTTTGATGTTAATTATTTGGATATTGATTAACTATATTTGCATGCACCCAATATATTAATAGATATACCAAGTATTGTTAATTATACAATGTATTGCTATATCATCATAGCGTGTTCACGCAGGAATACTGCTGTGAAATCGATACCCTGGTTGGTGTTGCCTTTTTACTCGACCAGTGCATGCCATGATTATAGACTAATTCGTTTTTTTTTCTGTCCATTTATGGACTTGAACCAATAACACATTGGTCCCCGTTGTAGGCCTACATTGAGATTCTATAGTTATCTGCAAAAATAATGTAAAAAATGTCTATTTCCCTCTTCTAAATTACAAAAAAAAAATTGCAGCAGAAAATATTATGTTCTCATCTTTTCTCTGTCTTGTTTTTTCTCAAGCCGCTAAAGCCACCAATTAGGCCTTTCTCTTCGTGGAAAATATAATTGCCCCTGTCAAATTATTATTATTATTACTTTGTCATTTAGCAGACGCTCTTATCCAGAACGACTTACAGGAGCAATTAGGGTTAAGTGCCTTGCTCAAGGGTACATCGACAGATTTTTCACCTAGTCGGCTCGGGGATTAGAACCAGCGACCTTTCGGTTACTGGCACAACGCTCTTAACCACTAAGCTCAATTGGTGCCAATTCAAGTTCAAACTGACAACAAAACATTTCAAACCAGCAACAGCAAAGAGTGACTTTGACATGGGTCATACAACTCCTGAATGCATGGCTTGTACTGCGTTTTCTCCTCTACTTTCTGAAAGACCTGAGCCAAGTGGACACTTTCCTTTCGTTTTTATTACCAATAACAAAAAGCCCGTCTGAGTTTGATTTTAACAGGATGTGTCTAATATAAAAATGTATGCCTAATAGCCTCAAGTTTTTTTTATACTGTATTATTATTATTGTGGTGAATAGCTACAATTCTGATAAACACATAAGGCCTATTTTCTGTTGGGAGAATGTGCATTTTCCTCGCCTGATTTGCTGACATCCAAGGGGAGACTTTAGCAAAACTTAAAAAACGTAGTCGTTTTTAACAAACAATTTAGTGGGGAACGTGAATGTTGGTTAGTGACTTGGGGGTTCTTGCAAAGCTGCTCCGTGTGAACTGGACAGTGGTTAGCTTCCCTCTGAACCGAACTAGTCCCGTCAGTGAAATGTTGGATTATCCTCCCGGCAAACGGGATTAACATAGCTTTCCCATACTGCACATTCCTGCTACTGACACTTGAAATTGTGTGTGTGTGTGTGTGTGTGTGTTCGTGCGTGCGTGCGTGCGTGTATGCACCGAAAGTATGCTTGGTTTGAATTAAAATAACATTATTGTTAAGAAATATGCATCATTTTTTATGTAATATGCATTATTTTCACTAAAACTCAAATGTTGCGTTGACAAAAAAGTAACAATATTGAGGCTGAAGAAATGTTTTTATGAAGTTAAACAGGCAACACTGGGGATCAGTTCAAACGTTCTTTATTTGTGTGCTTGGCGTTTTCATAGCAGTTTGGCATAACAACCTTGAGCTGTATTTGGTCATTGATGGACACTGATGTTTCAGGCAACGTTGCTGCTCATTGACTCGGCCACTCACACGTTTGAGAACTCTCTATTTCAACTAATATTTCATCATAATAATTTATCATTTGAAACACTTGGACATTAAAAAAAAAAAAAAATTCACAGCTAGGTGATCGCAGATGCGAAACTCAGAATTGCATACAAGGAATCTCAGTCTCAAAAAGCTAACAAAGATAGAGAAAATTAAAAACACTTAGGGGGACATGTATGAGCACACGAATACTGGTTGATTGTCTCTTAGAACTAGTGTCTTATAAGCATTTTTCATAAATTAAATAGTGCATCCAGGTTCGCCTCAGAGGCGCACGCACAGAGATGTGCGCGTACACACACACACACACACACACATACACTCGCACGCACAATGCTTTGATCAAAGGGCCCCTTTAGCTTGCCATCCAAGAGGAGAGGGTCGGGGAGTCGTAAGAAGCTTATGGAAAGCTGACCAATTCCACGCGCTTAACCAAGGGTTGGAACTTCTCTTGATCATGTTCTTCTTGAGTAACAATTTTGTTCCATGTCCTTGATCAAAGTTAAACAGAGTTCACTCTGAATTTTCAATAAGTTAACCCAACAGGTGTGACGCTGTCAGACAGACAGAGCGGCAGCTCCCCTTCTCTCCCACTGCTGCTGCTTGGGTAATAGTTTGACAGACACTAAGGCCCAGCGGTTGGAAAACTTTCCCTTTCGGCGACTCATTCACTGCCAACCTGGGCCCACCGGATTTACTGACGTTTATTTCACCACATTGTGAAAATATAATGTAATTCACTCATTCTTCTCACAACACCTGAAATTTCCACGATGACTGGTCTTTGTAATCCAAACAATCCGCGTTGAAGTTGAGTTTCCAGGCCGCAGCCTGGTCTTTGTAATCCAGGCAGTCTGTGGGACCACTGAAGCCCAGTCCCGCTGCCCCATACCCCTGCGCGGAGAGGGAAGAAGCCGGGCTCAGGTGGCTGGAGACCCCGTTGCTGCCCATGGGGCTCATTGTGGAGCCCGCCGTGGAGAGCTGGTGGTGCATAGGCGCCAAGTAAGACCCGCAGTCCATCCCGCTGAAATACGATGACGATCCGGTGTAGCCTTGGCTGTATCCGGACGCCTGGGTGTAGGTCATCGGGTACGACCGTTGCATACATGAGGAGGAGGAGGTAGAGAGTGGGTCAGAGAGAGGAGAGATAGAGGCCGGGCTCCAGATGGACACCGGGACACTGCTGCTGCTCACGGCCGGGATTGAGGTGCTGGGGGGCGGTGTGAACTGGCCGCTGGCACCGCTCTCAGAGCTGGCTTCTCTGATGGGGGAACTTTTCTTCTTAACGGGTCTGGTCTTGCTCTGCGTGCCGCTCTGTGACTGCTGTGCCTGCTGGCGACACTTCGCCCTTCGGTTTTTAAACCATACCTGAAAGATGGATAAATATGAAAATAAAACAATGTGTTAGCGTTTCCTTGATGTTTTATTGCAATACAGTCATCTATCTATACAGTGGATGCAAAAGAAAAGACTGGTAGGCCTATTCACTGGGGGGGGAACACTCCATCAAATTAATAGAGTGGAGAAGACACTCACTCTCTGAAGTGGCTTCTGGGTGCTTGACTTCTCAAGCCCAAATTAATGAGCTGTGTGAGTGGCCTTCACTCAAAATCTGGATGGACACGTGTTTACACAAAGGCCCAGGGACTTACCTGAACACGAGACTCAGGTAGGTTGATCTTCAGGGCCACCTCCTCGCGCATGAAGATGTCTGGGTAGCGCGTCTTGGCGAACAGGTTCTCCAGAATGTCCAGCTGAGCACGTGTAAAGGTCGTCCTCTCGCGCCTCTGTTTACGAGGGGTGGCTGTATGAGGAAAAATAAACATTCATTATAAGACTTTACAAATACAAACATGTTATGGCTTTAGAATAAATACATTGTTTTATCCTACATAAGCTAATCAATGTGGCTTGTCAACTGTATCCAATAGGACTAAAGTTGCTGCTTTGATCATGAGCAATTAGGCTATGTTTAGATGGATAAATAGCCTAGTATTTCGGTTGATATTTCAAGACAGGGAATATTTGTCCTTTGCTGAGATCTTAATTTGCATAAGTTGTACAAGACATGACTCTTGTTTGTTTAGGACCATTACCATTAATAATTTACATTTACACCCCACAAAGACCAGCTGAATATTAGTTATGATCCCCTGATAGTTTAGATCATTCACTATAGGTCTAAGCAAAATGAGAATGTTTATAAAGCCAGTCGAAATTATTGATTTAAGGTCAATGATACCGAAAAACTAAATTTTGGGAATAAATTACAATTATAATTATACATTGGTTTATTTTATTTAGCCAGTTTTTAGCGTATGATCATCATTTCGAAATAGACAAGATATGCCACAAAGAAAAGCTATGCAATGAGCCATTGCAGGTTATTTTACTATTTCATGGTTATTTGTGTAAGAAATATGAAGTATTCCATGCCCTCACCTGGATAGCCGACAGACGGATGGAGTAGGTCCATCCCGGAGGAAGACAAACTCAGGCCGTTGACCGTGTAAGGCGGCTGCTTCAGATAAGACATCATTCTAGCCTCCGATCGAAGGGCAAAGTTGGAGAGAATTTTGAAAACAGAAAGTCGTTGAAAAATAACCTTTTAGTTTAGTCCTCAAGAATTCTTCTGTCCGATACCTGAACAGAGCACGACAGGAAAGAGAGAAGGTTGTTTTGGTTACACGATAAGTCCTTGTTTTTTCGTTGGAGTCGTTTACGCACTCTTTAAGCAGCGAGGTGAATTTTAGAAATGAGCGTCGCCCTGTACGCGCAGCGCTCTTAAAGCAGACCGGAGACCCCCAGCTGTCCTTCAGGACTGAGGATGCTCTGTCTGTCTGACAAACGTTTGCGCCACCATACTACCCCCTCAACCCCCCCCCCCCCCCCCCCCCCCCCCCGCTCTCTCGCTCTCGCTCTCTCTCTCTCTCTCTCTCTCTCTCTCTCTCTCTCTCTCTCTCTCTCTCACACACACACACACACACACACACAAACACACACATCACCACTAACACTAACACTACCACAACCTTAACCAGCACCTAAAACATCCCATAATTTCATCATGCCTTCTCGGAGAACAAAACATTCTCGTTAAAATGCGCACACACATTGGGCCAAACAAGGCAAGACGCACCATTAGCATAGTACCCACATGTATAGACGGCATGATTGGGGGCCATTTGCAAAGACAAAGCCCGCTGTTGACCAGATAAATAATGCTGTTAACAAAAGAGCCTTTGGCGACAAACAAAAGAGATAATACTGTAAACCCAAAGCTCTCCATTTTAAGGCAATGAAACTAGCACAGCATCTTTAATTCTATCCATACGGCCTTTGCTAAAACGGTTTAATCTCTTGTGGTGAAAATTAAAATTGGGTAAACATTAAAATGTGAACGGCAATTTAGCAAAATAACTAGAAACTTGGGGGAACTCTTCCATTATTGTAATTCCATCGGACATTATTGACACTCCCTGGGCGATATCCACCTAATTAATAGCTCCCGGTAATTAGATTTAGGTGGTGAGACTATGGAAGAGTGTTGATTAGCAAAGACCACTTAATCTTAATCCAAACAAACAAGCACTTGCCCCGCAATATAACAACCGATCATATTTCCCTCATTCGGTGGAGTCTCCTTTTTAGACAGAGCTATTTCCTTTGGCATTAAAACTATTCTACACTAAATGACATTTTTCTCTACATAAACGCTACTAAATAGAATTCCATACTAAATGTAGCCTACAGTGTAAGGTCTAATACAGGAATCATTAGGTGAGTTTGTTTGTAATGAATAGGAACCAAACAACAATCTAGCCATCAATCGCCCATAATCCAGATAGGAAACAATGTCCTTGCCCGCTGCATCCACCTGAAGTCGTGTGGAAACATATTTATACCACTCATAGAACTAGGCCTACATTTCATCTTGAGCTTTAGCACTTTCATTCCAAATTCCAAATAGGCCTACATTTAAATGTTTTGTCATTTAGCAGAGGCTCTTAGCCAGAGCGTTTTACAGTAGCAATTAGGGTTGTGCCTTGCTCAAGGGCACATCGATATGTTTTTTACCTAGTCGCATGGATTCGGACCTTTCGGTTACTGGCCCGACGCACTTAACCGCTAAAATACCTGCCACCCCATTGGAATTCTATTTTGACTTTGGCCTATAGAAAACTACAAATACAAAAATGCAAACACAGGATCACAGGGTCTAGTGTATTACAACGTAACAACTAAGGATACATTTAATGTTTATTTATGAACGAATAGGCCTATACAAAGTGTGGCAAATCAAATAGCCTACATTTAGCAAATCATAAGTTGTTACATTTAAGTTGGTGGAAATGTTCGTTGTAGCCCATGGGCTCCTTCCTACATTATATTGGAATCATTATGCACCTATCTGTAGAATCGAAGTTAAAACTGTGAGTTCCCTCCTCTCGTGCACGTAGTCAAACTAGGAGACTTCATAAATGTTTATGGCCTATGTAACGGCCACCGTGCTCAATCTGTCACTTTTTTCACCCAGACCCCGTCTACCGGTTGCCCCACATCCGTTCAATAATAATTACCCTGTCCAATAATTAATTATTATTGCCCACAAGTGTTTTTTATAAGAAATTAACGAGATAATCCGGACGGCACGCGCTGCCCTGATTAGGACGCTAGCCGCGACTCCCGCGCGCTCCGCATTCGGGCTGATTAATTTTCTGCGTCACGAAAATAAAACAAAGGCTGGCATTGTGTTTATTAAGCCAGCTGACTACCAGACAACCTGCCCCCACCCTCACTCACTTTCCCAAACTGATACAGGCCGCATAATAATAATAACTATAATAATAATAGTAGGCTAATAATAATAACAACGAGATAGGCTATATAGCCTAATGAATAAGTGCGTTATCATTATGGCTATAGTCTATCGAAGCAGCGTGAAAAATGTGTTATCTTTATAATTTATTTAGAAATTCTGTTCAGACAATTTTCTGTGATGTTTTAACTGCAAATTCAAGACCTTTCTATAGTTCACGTCGGTAGGCAACAAACTATAAAACCAAGACAGAGTGCACATTATTCACGATCAACATCCATATTTCCTCCTCTTGTTGAATATAGGGTTACAGCATGTGTTTGGCTCCGTCCACAGCCAATTATGCTAGTGGCTGTATAGCCTCCAGTGCAGCCTGCATGGCCAGAGAGGTGAGGGGTGAAAAACGATTTTTTTTAAACACGCCTGCCCAATTATCGCTCCATGCAGAGGTATTTCCATCACAAAGAGCACTTGATGCTATTGAAAAGGAGTTAAATACACGATAGAGATGAGATGCTTGGAAATTACTAGCACTTTTATTAGCACAAAGTTTGGCTAAAGAATGCAAAAGAGGAAAGGATTACAAAACAATTATAAACCTGCAGTTCTGTGGATGGATGAAATCGAAATAGCCTAACTGTATAGAATGTTACTCTGGCAAGCAGAATATGTCCTTATTAATCTTTCATTTAGCAATATATTTCTCAGTATTTCTAACCTATTATACAGACTTTACACTTGCCTGGTATGAAGGATTCGTCTGTCTTCAATGCTCCTTAACTAAACGTCGGAGAAAATAATATGAGCGATAGGCAAAGCTAAGGCGACATCCGAGTCACTTGTTAAGAAATTAAAGTTTAAACCAATTATATGACAACGTCGTGATTGCGTGTCTTCGTGTTTTGAGAAAACGTGAGCGAGTGTTGCTCATTTTATCCAGAGGGAGATTTGCTAAATAACCTTGACAGCCAATGGAATAAAGCGAGGAAAATGATGTGGAGTGATGTTGAACGTTTCCACGCGACTTAGGCCTACTGAAATGCGAATGGGCTGATTAAATGTGTTTTGGATTTGTTGTGACTGTCGTCACTGCAGCACATATCATATACAGTATTGTAGCTCCTATCACTGCTATCAGTGTCATTAAAAAGACCACCTAGATCTCCTGAGAAGAACTCGCGCCCTGGATAAGTGATCCATTGACGTGTCCCCCGCGAGCGCACGGCTGCGCTGTGATTCGTGGCAAAGGTGACCATGACGCGCGAAGAGCAATCAAACGCCAATAAGCGTTTCACACACATTAACCATGGCTCCGTGGTTTATTAGGGTTAAGAGCAGTAAACGAGGTATAGGGTACGGTCGTTCGTGCTTTAACCAGTTTAGTTGTTTTTGTTCAGTTTTATTTCAACTCAGTTTGAACCAAAAATCAAAATCACAGGTTAGCCGATATTTCACCACCATAAAATATCAAACATATTTTAATTATTCTGTAAATAATGTTTGCAAAATGATTATGCCTAAGCGAGAATACATGTTTGTTGGTCGACTGCACTGATTTATAAGTGGCGAAGTTCTAGCTAGGCCTCGTCGTGAGGAAGGGGATTGGGAATATACATTCTTGGGGACCTGACTGTCACGGTTTGGTAAATGTAACCCTCTCAGAGAGATTTAAAAACCCTGGCACATGCAGCACCCCTCATCTCTCTCTCTCTCTCTCTCTCTCTCTCTCTCTCTCTCTCTCTCTCTCTCTCTCTCTCTCTCTCTCTCTCTCTCTCTCTCTCTCTCTCTCTCTCTCTCGCTCTCTCTCTGTCTCTCTCTGTCTCTCTCTCTCTCTCTCTCTCTCTCTCTCTCTCAAACAATCCCCTTCTCACACATCTATAGGCTATTCATATCATGCTGCTATTCCCTCAGAAATAATATCCTTCATCCTACTTTATTTTACTGAAAAAAATGTCTAGGTGTTTCAATTTTCAGCAGAAATATGACTATAGCATTTGAAGTTTTTTTTGGAGGGGGCTGTCAAAATATATTTTTGTATGTATTTCTGTAATTTTGAGCTTTTAGAATTTCGAGAGAAAAAAAATATTTTAGGATATTTGAAATGCTTTTTCAAGAACGAATTCACCCAGCTTGTCTGTGAATACAACCGCTACTTTTTGTTTCCTTCACCCACGCCCCCCTCCCCTCCCCTCCTTCCGCTACCATTTCTGTCCTTGGGGACAGGTTGCGTTTTTGGGATTAGCGTCTGAATTTGATTAGCCAGCAAGCTAATTGTTACCAGTGCTCTTTTCACTGTCTAGTTGTCTAGTAGAACCCTACTCACTGGTGTATGTGCAAAATGTTCTGCAAAATAATAGCCTTGTACTCGTAATTTCTCTCTTGCTTTCTTTTTATGCGCCTATATGCCTTCTCTTTTAAATGTGGCAATTTAATTGTGATTTAAAAAAGGAACCCTCAAAAGGTTCGTGTTAAAAAGCAGTGTTCTTATAACGTTTAGCAAAAAGCAGTGTTCTTATAACGTTTAGCTTGTGCTTATGATCATCTGCTATATGAATAAATGGCCTAAAGGTCAGGCCCCTGAACCAAGCCTACTTTGCAAGAGTTTGGCCTATAGAAACCAAACAGGCCTCAAAATTGAAGCTTTCAAACGCTTTCAAATTCAAGTGAAATATGGAATGCTATTTAATTTAATATAAAATAGCCCACAGTGATAAGTCTTTCGCCTTCATCATATTTTCAAGAGAACCCTAAATGATTAAATAAACAACCAATATCTCTAATATTTCGTTTCCCATGTCTCTCAGAAGCGTGAAGCCCTAATGCTCCTGGCTCGTGCTGTCGCCTTTCATCTCGAGCTCTGATACATAATTCATCGGTAAATATCGCGTAGCCCCGGGGAGCGCTCGTGCTAAACGGGGCTCTGATTGTAAAAGGTGAACGTGCTTGTTAACGTCTGTGACAATATGCCCTCCCTCTGACTCCGGGCCAATTGAAGGAGTCATGGT